TCTGAATACATCAATCACAATATATTCCTCTTAAAACGTAAAGTAGATCACCCCTCAGAACTCTTCAGTGGTTTTCTTACTCAGTAAAATTCTAAGTCTTCACCAGGCTCTTAGGTCTTCACTGTAGCTGACTGGTTTCTGTTTTTCCTTAAGCAGGTAGAGCACAATTCTGCTTCAGGGCCTTTGCATTTGTTAGCTCTGCCTTGAATACTTTCCATGGATATCTCATTCCATTCAGGTCTTTGTTCTAATGGTATCTTTCTATTTAGAACATTTCCTAGCCTCCTTCCTTATTTTATTTTTTCATCATACTATTTATCATTACCTGATATTCTGTATATTTGACTTGTTCCTTTATCCTTTCCTCTCTAGATCACTGTTTCCAAAACTGTAGTATGCATTAGAATTAGCAGGAGTGCTTGTCAAAGCACATACTGCTGTGCCTCACTCACGGCTTTTCTGATTCAGTGATCTGGGCTGGGATTGGGCAATATGCATTTCTAGCAAGTTTCCCAGGATACTGATGCTATGGTCCATGAATCACACTTTGAGAATTAATGCACTTGTCCATCCAGTACAGTGACCACTCACCACATGAGGCTATTTAAATTGAATTGAAATGAAATAAAATAAAATATTCAGCTTGTTAGTCCACTAGCTCAGTGTATTTCAACTGCTCAACATAAGAATGTCCAAACATACAACAAATGTTATGAGTTTATTTGAGCCAAACTGAGGACCTGCTTGGAAGCAAGATCTCCGAAATTCTCTGGAGAATGGCAATTTAGCAGTTCTCTTTATACATTTGGGATCAAAATAGGGAAAGTAAGGAAGATTACATGAAATCCACTGGTGGTAGATTAAGGAGGGAGAGATCTGACTGGATAAAAAGTAAAATGGAGAGAACATTTACTGTAAATAGGGATGGTTTATGGGCAACAAGATCATGTGTGCCCTTGAGGATGGTTAGAGGGGTCTGGGAAAAGGGATTATTCTGGAATTTCAAATATTTGTTAATCTAGATGCACAAGATCAATGGACAGGACTTGCCTAGGTAAAGATAAACCTTTTATGAAAGAAGTTATAGGCCTGGGGCATGACTACCCACCATGACCTGCCCAGTTAGTAATTTATGTTCAGGTCACCCTGTGAGGTTACCTTTGGTCACTGAGCTTGTCAGATTCACTTCATAGTTCCTTTCTCATTCACAATAGCCACACGTGGTGAGAGTCCTTTGTATTGCACAGCACAGATATAGAAAATTTCCATCCTTGCAGAAAGTTCTATGGGCAGTGTTCTGGGCACACATTACATGAAGATGGACTTCGTTTCTGTCCCCTCCCTCCTGGGTTGTATCCTCATATTTGTATATCTGGTCCATGTCGAGTTTGCTATAGTGTTGGAATAAAGGAGATACATAACTTTTTTTTTAGCATTTACATGTATTTTAATGAGAATGCTTTTTTTATTGAGTGCAAAATCCTGGCCATGAGTGTGGTGACTATTCTCTGTAGATGCTGCCATCAGGAAGCTGAACAGAGGAAAGACCAATACATACCAATTTTTTTTCCAATCAGATGGCTAGTCAGTTTTCCCAATACCAGTTGTTCAAAATTTAATTATGCTCCCAGAAATTTGAAATACCATTATTAGATGTAGTAGTAAATTCCCATCTGTATTTGTGTCTGTTGCAGAACTTTCTGGTCTACTGCATTTATCTTTCAGGGTGTGGGAATATTTTCAAGACAAAATTGACTTCTGAAATTACTGAATAAAGATTTGAACCTAGAATTATAAAATGAGATAATAAAGTCAGAAAGAGTTCTGTGATTATTAGTTGCCTTTTGAAGAGGCATTTTTTATTAGAAAACATTTAGGTAGTGTTGAGTTCAAAGGTCAGGATATAGCTCTATGTTAGCATGAAAACTTTTTGCCGTGAAATCTGGTATAGTGTGCAATGACTTCTCAGTGTAAGAAATATCTAAACCTTTGGAGAATTTTTATAGAAATTTATTTAAGCTACAACTGGTGGTAATTACAGGGAAGCAAAATCTCAAATACTTTGGAGAATTGACAGTTTTCCAGTTTCTTTTATGCATATAAAATTAAGGAGGGAACCGAAAGAGGATTACATGAAGGTGGGAGAAAGCAAGGCAGGGATTGAGTTACAGGATAATTAAGATTATGTGCTCTCCTGAAGGTAGTTATGCTTGTTTCAAAGGTGTATTAACCTAGATGCATAAAAGCAATGGACAGGGCTTGCTTAAGACAAAGATATGTCCAGTTAGGAATGTATGGTCTAATCACCCTATGATGTAACATTCCGTAGAACCCCTTTTCACCCACAGATTATAGATGACCAAATTGATTGAGGCAGTAAGCCATTTTTATAATATTCTTGGCCCTATCTATTAAATTATAAAATTAATGTATCACAGATTAAAACAATAATTCATTAAGGCATATCAGAAGGGTTAAATAAGAAGTGTATATAAAGAGTGTTAAATTGTTCTTACCTTTTAAAAATGGAAAATGTTTTTCCTTAAATGTTTATATGTTTGTACATAAAAGGGTATCAAATGATAAAAAAAAAAAGGGATTAACCAAACAGAAACAAACAAACTTTACATCAATAGCTACTTTTGTCTTGTTAACTTGTATTGTGTATTTCTAAAATACTGAATGAACACTTTGGTTTTTTAAATTCTAAAGAACTATACCTTTAAGAAATGATTTTCAAAATGTAAGTTTAGTTTTCATATGTAATACTTGACATGTTTATATATAGAGAGAAAGAGAGCTATAATCTGAACATATCACCATTTACTCAGAGGCAATAGTGGACAGTGTTCCATTAGGTTGGCTGTAAAAGCTTTCTCTTCTTTCAGACCAACTGTATTTATAATTATACTAGAGGCCCAGTGCATGGAATTCATGACTGGTAGGGTACCTTGCGGCTGCCGGCTGCCTGCCGGGTATGTCCTCCCTTCCCCTAGCCACCTGCTGTGGGCCAGGGCCTTCCTCCCTTTCCCTGGCCGGCCCTGCCTCCCTGGCCAAACTCCCAAACTCCCGGTCAAGGGGACAATTTGCATACTATGCTTTTATTATATAGGATTGTTTTTACCTAGACATTGCCTAATCCTTCTTAACCTTTTTTACTATCAGAAAAAGAAGGCACCATTTTCAAGTTTAGAATTGGTACGTAACATCAACTTGCTCACATAGAGTACTGTTACCATAAACTTCAACAATACCATTATGCTAGTCTACCTCTAGGTGAAATTTAGTACCGTATTTGCCAGCGTATAAGACAATTTTTTGGCCCTGAAAAATATGCCTTCAAGTGGGGGGTCGTCTTATACGCCAGGTACACTTTAGATAGACTGCCCATAGTGCTTGCCCCGTGCCATAGTGGCCTCCCGATGCCCGCCCACTTCATTCCACATACCGTTCAGGCATCAGCAGCGCTGCTGGGTGTATGCTCGGCTGTTATGCGATTTTGCTGTTATGCGATTTTACCACACTCGCAAAATCGCACACAGCCGACCATACACCCAGTATGATAGCGCAAAATCACGAATCGCGATACCATACTGGGTGTATGGTTGGCTGTGTGCGATTTTGCGAGTGTGGTAAATTCGGGTTACCGTATATTTCTTTACATATGCATTGAATTTTAAAGAAGGC